ACCACCACCACCAGGAAACTGCACAAGTATTGACTGCTGCACCCACTGATTATAAGAGAAGTGAGTAGTTTTAACATGTAAAACTATATAATGCTTTTATTGTGCTCAATTCCTTTGAAAAACTACTACATATTTCTTCTTCCCTCTTTTTGCTGATAGAGTGTTTCTCACTTGGAATGTTCTTTTCCTCTTTCTTTCAAGATCATACAACCCTCCCAGCAATCACCTTCTTGGCTTGATCCAAATTTTATTGATCTTGTGTTATTTGATCAATAATGCCAGGTGCTTATATACCAAAAAAGCAACTCACTGCTAGTATGTCGATGCTGACTCATAGCCACCCGGGGGTCAGGATAGAAGTGCCCCTGTTAGTTTCTAAGACTAACTTTCCACAGGAGTGGAAAACCTTGTCTTCCCCCTCCCCCACCAGCCCCACCCCCGAGTACCTGATTTTCCACTGCTGACCTTGCATCTCGCAGTCCATCATGTAAACCCTGCTCCACCATTGCACTTTCCACTTTACAAAGTCCTTCTTCCGATATTTTTACCATGCCCTGGTGTTAAAGCATTACAATTTCAGTTTTCTAGTTAAGTAAGTATAAATGGACTTCATTACTTCACGGATGACTTTACAGCAAGCAGGTTGCAACACTAAGGCTCATTTCCCTCACATTCAGGGGGTTTTTCTCTCTTCACCATTGATCAGAGCTAAATTCTTAAGGCATTGGTTATCTGTGCCCAGACAATCCATCTGAAATAGTGGAAGGAGAATAACTATTTGAGTCTATCTGGTCTGGTTGGTAGTCAGCTTCTTTGTTCTGTAACTGTGAAGAGGACACTGATCAGACTCATGAGATTTCTAATTGAGAAAGTGTATTTATGAACCCCAAAAGCTTATGCTGGAGGTTAGTTGGTGGCCACACTGTAAACCCAGGTGGGACTTGTTTATGTTGCATCAGATATATTAGTCATATTTCCCTCAAAACAGTTGAAGTTCTGTTAATGCAGGAGCACAAAATTATTGTAAGAATTTGAGCTTATAGATCAGAAAAATTGAAGATCAGGAAGTACGTTGAGGCCGTTGTAATCAACGTGTGATCCGTTCACATGAGCACACATCAAATTAAGTTGATGAGACAATTCCTTATATTTATTGATTATTCATTTTTACATTGTTTGTGTTTACGTGCCATGAATCATGATTTATAAGTCAGAATGAGATTTTTATTTTGATTCATCATAATCTCACTATTATTTCAACCGACAACAGATAAGATGTAGCCATTAAAGTTTATTATGCTATTTCCATTCCTCATTCTGAAGCCACTAAACTTTGTCGTTGAGTAAATAAATAAAACCCTTTTAGTCTGAAGTTGTTGTTTATTTAATGTCAGGGGGGAGTTCAGTTCCTGACCTAAAGGCCGACTAAGGGACATAGTTGCTGTGGTTCCATCTGTCCCTCCTCTTTCTTTGCAACCTTCACGGACTCCCTCCTGCCTGTAGGAAACCTGTCACAATCAGTAGGCTAGCCCACTCTTCTCCAAAATGATTGAAAACCTTTATTTTATGACTTTTTCTGACAAAATCCACCTGGACAAGTCCTCTTCTCAGAGTTTTTATACAAATTTACTCCCCCACACACATTCTCTCCCATTAAACCTTTTTCACCTTCAAGATTGGAACAGTCACCTTGTTTTCTTTAAAAGATCAGTTTCTATTCATCTTTCAACACAGACACAAGTCATTCCCAATTCAATTCCAGGTATAGTAAATATCTTTTACATTTGACCTTAAGGCAACTCTTTTTCCCTCCACCCATTTTGGTACTCTTGGGAGAAAGATGGGCTTTCTACTCCCATAAAAAGGTACAATCTCAGAAACTCACAGAAGTACTATCCTGTCCAATGGGTCACTGTGAGTCAGAATTAACTCGATGCAGTGGTTTGTTTTTTGGTATGGTTGATCCACTTGGTAAAATCATATACTGGAAAGTAAAAGCACTACTTTCAGTTCACTTCAACCAATGTTTATCAGTCAGCTATGCATGTGATACCATCTCATAGCGACCCAGTAGGATAAAGAAGAAAGTCCCCTTTATGGGAGTAGAAAGTCCTATCATTCATCAGCAAACACTTAGCTTTGGCTAATCAGAGATAAATAATACATATTCCTCACACTTAAAGATCTCATAATCAAACGAGGTAAAGTAAAATGAAAAAATATGATATGATTGCCCTTTAATAATATTGACAATTATAAATTGTCATGGGAAGAGAAACAATTATTTAGATCACATAAAAAGCTGTTTTCTAAATGTGGTGGCCCTATCATGTAAACATTGGACTATTACCTGTAAGGTAAGTCGTTCAAACCTATGAAAACCATGGGGAGAGGTGAGGCTGTTTGCTTCCATTAAAATTATGGCTGTAAATATGTATGAGATGGTTAGGAGTAGGGACTGGCTCAATGCAGTGTGTGTTGTTCGATTTAGAGAAATCACAGGACATTCACTTGGATGGGACACTTAGAAGGCATTAGGGCCTGATGACCTTTATGAGTGTAGGCCATAAAGAATGGTGTCATGTGCTGGGTGGAGAAATGAATGGGATGTGGGGAGGTAGTCAATGAAAACTTACGTATATAAATAAGCTTGGGAAATAAATCCATTAATATTCTATTGTATTTGCCCATGAACTTTGTGCAACCCTCTGATAATATATATGCATTTGTAAAATCTCATTGACTCCTTTCCCACATCCAAGTACCTTCGTTTTAAGCAAGAATTCCATAGTTGAAATCAAGTTTGTAGTTAAAAACAAAACAAAACAGCAAAAACTTTCATTTCATTGTGATGTATTAATGAATTTTAGTCTAACGACTCCCTAAGGACACATTCCCATGTTGCAGTATAGATTACATGTAATTTGTGGCAAAATGTCAAGCCATATGCTTTTGATTTGTCAAATGTGTAGTACACGTACTTAAATGTTGAGTTATTGCCCTGTTTTTAAAAGCACATGTTTTCAACTTAATAAGAAAAAATCTTCTATTGATGAATAAAAAAGAGTATTTACCTATCACCAAAAAAGTGAGACATTTTGTAAAAATATCTACCACTTGGTTCCATATATTTCCTTAACATCAAAATTATTAGTGTGTATTTTAAGATCAAGAGATACATAAAATAGTTCATTTAAAATCAAAATTTAGGGTGTATTTTAAATGATAGGAAGAACATTATGACATGGATCTTTCACAGTGAAATTATTGCATGAGTGAGCCCTGAGAAGTTCTGAATTTGTTGATTTTGTTTTGCAGTTTCTTCTTTGTCAGAAGCTATGGGCTAGAGCCTCCCTCTCTTCACCATTTGCCCCTCCATGCCTAGTTGACCTTGTCTTTTTAGAAAAACTTATCATATCTCACTGGAAGGATCATTCCAGTGATTCCAATGACATAATTAGAATAGTGATTATAATGACACCCACCCGCATGGACTCTCCCTCCCCATCATGCTGACTGTAAGGCTGGGACACACATTGGATTCTTGGTTGGAGCCCAGACTCAGAGGTCCTTTTAGAAATGTTTAAGCAACATTATTTGAATTATAGCTGAGGATCTTCTAAACACATTTGAATTTTTTATTACTCTTAGGAACAGAGTGTATTTTCTAGTCTCCATTACAGAAATATTTTAAAGTAAATGGAAACAGGCTGTGCATGAAATATTAACAGGGTCTCACTAATGAGCATGAATCGGAATTAAAGAAGATTTTATTTATTT